GGTCCCACTTATCAATTGGTTTGGAGAAAGTTACTCCATCAACGGTAATCGTTGGTTCAGTCCACCTATACATGACAGATTGCCAAACTTTTTCATCAATAGATTTAAAAACGATCACATCCGAGCTTTTCAAAAAGAATAATTAGATTTGTCAAGTAGGGGTGGTCGAACCATAGAATTTCCCTCATGAATTGAATCCATTATCACAAATCAAACAAGATCCCGCTCCAAAAGTTTTTTAAAAAAAAATTGAGCGACCTATTTTGATACCAATTGAAAAATCTAGAAATCCCCTAGATATTCATTTGTGATTATGTATCAATTTTAATCAGTAAATAACAGTCTCAATCAAACAATCAAGACAAATCAACACAACGATTTTAGCGTGAAAAAACCACAATTGGAACACCTTCAATTGTGATAAAAAACCACGACCAAAAACCACAAAATAATCTACTAAGAAAACAAAAGGAATTACACAAGTGCACTCTTAATTACCTAGCAAATCCAAGCCCGAATTAAACCGACCCCTATATGCCTCTTCCACCATGGTCTTCACCTCGGAATCGTCTTGCCCAACGTTGAATCCACAACGCCGATGTCGAATCCACAATGATGAGTCACTCCAGAATCCATCAAAGCTTCAGGCTCAAATTCTACGGAATCCATCGAAGAACAACACTCTCTTTTGTATTGAACGAAACAAACAATCCTTTGATGTATACTTTTCAAACTAGATTTAAACTCAAACAAACATCAACGAAACTGGCAAAGAAGCTCCGGATATAAACCCTAATATCCAAGAAGAAGATTTGGAAGTTATAACCCTAAAAACGGATGAAACCACATATTTATATAAAACTGATCTGCGATCTCCGCTCGAGCACAAGAATGGCCGCTCGAGCGAAAAAATACAACTCCCAATACTTTTGTAGGCGATCAAACTTCTGAAATAAAAAATTCTCTGCTCGAGCGCACAAGCAGCTGCTCGAGCAGACAAACAACTTCAAATGCATTTTTGCATTTTGCTTCGAGGGCACTGTCCCGAACTTGCCAAGGGGCATTGGCCCTTGGACCCCCACGAGCTGACCGGGCAACTCGATCCCCGACATACTCAGCGAAGTGGCAAACATGAAAGAATAAACTTCTGAAACATCTCTGCAACGTGCAATTTGGGTTAGATTCGCATAAAAAACTTATAGCATCACTGAAATAAAAGATCGAATACAATTACAACTGAAAGGAGTTTTATCAAATGGGATTGTCAAAAATAAAAACCTAACAACATTGATCGGATATCGATAGCTACGTGATCAAATTAGTTTTGTATAAAAAAAAATGGACAGTGAAAAAATAATCCGATGAAATAGCTATCGATATTTGATCAACGTAATTTTTTACAGGCATATAGTATTTAATGAGTTTTACACATTGAATGATTTGAATTATCGAAACAGGATCCGTAATGGGCCTCCACGGACCCAACAACACCCTCCAGTCCGTATTAGATTAAAGGGAAGCCAATCCCATTTTTATTATTGTGCACTCGGTTATCACTTGCCTTCATATATCTTATTCTCTTAATTTGTCTGCATGTTCTCCACATGCATGTTCGTGAAGGCATTGTTAATACTGATACCATGTTATGTCAAGATTTTTAAAAACATCTAATTCAAAATTGAAGTGCACAAAAACATGCAGAGTATACGCAATAATTGAAAGCCCTTCAAAATTCTAACAACATGAAATGGTTTTATTCCAAGGAACTTTAAATACACTAAAATTGAATGAATCTTTTCTCCAACCAAACTTTATTGAGGCTTTTCCCAATATAAGCCCTTTTTCCATTGTATTTCCAAAACTAGGCCAACTTCTGACGGAATTCCAAAACTAAGTTAAAGCGCCATTACTATTCGCGCTTTTACTGTTAGGAGCGCAAAAGTAGATGAACAGGAAAATCGCTATTACAAATAGCGACTTTGATTAAGAAGTCGCTGTTACAAATAGCGCTTCTAGCGTTAGTTTTTGTCCGGATAAAAACGCTTTTCTTAACAGCGCTTTTTACAAAATTTTCCAAAAAACGCTATTTCTAATAGCAATTTTAACAAAAAAAATTTCCCAGAAAAAACACTATCTCTAATAGCGATTTCAGTTCAAATTTTGTTGCCAAAAAACGCTATTGCTAATAGCGATTTTAGCAGAAATTTTTTTTTTTCGCCCTACACTATGCTTGGGAACTTAGGAGAGATAAGAAAAGAAATGATTACTTAAGTAATAAGAGAAAAGAAAAGAAAAGAAATGATTATGATTTTTCTCATTCTTGTTTGGTTAGGTTTCATTAAGAGAAAAGAAAAAAAATTATTTTATGTTATATTACCAAAGTAACCTTTTTATATTTTTAATCATTTTATTTCTTTTATTTTTATAGGGACAAAATAGGTATTATGAAAATAGTGGTTTCTTTTCTTTCCCAATCTCTCCACTTTTGGGAAGATTGAAAATGAGTTTCTCTCCATTTCTTTCCATTTCTTCTCATTTCTCTCTACTTAAGTTATCCAAACAAATAACAGAAATACATATCACTCCATTTCTTTTGTTTTCTCTCCAAATCACTCAATCCAAAGTGATAGTGTGTACAAAACAAGAGAAGATATGGCAAACACAAAATGATCAAAGAAGTTATGGTCAATTTAATCTACTATTATTTTAAATATAAGGAGATTAAGAAGTGGATAAAATATTTCAGTGTGGTTACTAAAATATGCGTTCTATATCATTCAAGTTTTAATTTTACTGGTTTCAATCTTGAAGTTTTTTATTTGAATAAAATTGATCCAATTTCAAATAGATCATTCAAATTATTAACAGAATAATAATAAAATACATCAATGATTTTTAAAATACGCATTTTTTTTCCCTTTAATCTTTTTTTTTTTTTTTTGTCAACACAGTAAAATTATGTTTGGATAGTTGGAATTGAGATATAGATCAAATTACCATGTGCCAATCATATTCTTACCATTTAGATGTGGGAGTAATTCATCATCATTTCATCAATAATTTAGATGATCTTTTCAAATTAGATTATAACTTGACTTGAATTAAAAAATTTCAGAATGAAATTGACAAAATTAATATTTAAAACATGAAATTAACGAATAAATCTATACATTAAAGACCACCGATAATATTATAATTTTGTGAAGTCATGGAATATATTAGCTATTAATACATGGCCTGTAATACAAAACAAACAATAAAATAAGAAGTTGAGTAAAGAGTGTATAGAATATTTATGGATACTTTGTGACATGTAACCCAAAACAAATTGTAATTTTGAATGAATCTCAAGACGACAGCAACATTTGATTAAATGATATTTTAAGGACTAATTAAAAAATAAACTAAAAAGTAATCAAAGCTTACCGTCGGGTGTATTATAAAACTAGAGAATTAAGCGGATCAATTGCTTTGACGATAACACTTTTTGACAATTTTTTAAATTTTAACCGACAAAAATGAAGCGTGGTCAATAATTATACACAAATTACGAGTTAAATCTCATAAGTTAAGCAATTGAATATTGTGTTAAAGACAATAATCACATGAACTTTGTCTAACTGAGTCTATTGTATCAATTTATTAATATTGTAATGCACATTGTATGTAGACTTTAGCAAACTGCTGACACATTAAGCTTTGAAATTGTATAATTTTAGTTATATATTGTTCGTTTTAATATAATTATTCTTATATTTATAATTAAATTTCTACTTAGTAATCAAAAATATAAAAAGTAAAAACTCCCAACCCAATGTGCATTGAAACTCTATATGTGTGGGAAATTTTCTGACCACACTGCTCACTTAGTAACTAGCTGGAGAGCACCGACAGAATAGATGGCACCTGACTGACCTGTAACAGAAAAAGAAGATTCCGGCGAAACCTGTAACAGAAAGAGAAGATTCCGGCGGTGGTTCGTCCACCCGGGATACTCCGACGATCAAGTCAGTATATCTCTCAAAGATAAATCAAGTGCTAAACTCATAAGCTTGAGTATCAAAGCATACCTTAGACCCATGGGGGTGCCTCTCTTTTATAGCCAATACAATCCTAGTCCCAATAGGAGCCTAGCCTTAATGGACTTAGGATTACTGCTAATCTGGGACTCCCAGTGGGATTAGGATAAACTCTCTAAGAGTCTTATCTTTACCCAAACTGAAGTCTTCTCCCAATCTAGGACTCTTGTCCATATCCAAGTTGAGTTCCCTCTTCATTCTAGGACTCTTGTCCCTTATCCGCTTATCTCGGTTTCCGATATCTTCGGAGATAACCTCGGCCTTACCGAGATCACCTCGGCATCACGACCAGGACACGTGGCATGATCTCGGTTTAGCCTACTTGTAAATTGCTGCAAATTTCAACAAGTGTTAACATATACTGTAAATTTTTCTCAAGTTATAACAATGATCTACTTGTAAATTGCTACAAATTTCAACAAACGAAGAGAACCAGTAATCTCGGCTTAACTTCAACTTGTAAATTGCTACAAATTTCAACAAGTGAAGAGAACCAGTAATCTCGGCTTAACTTCAACTTGTTTCGTTCTAGGCCCGTCGTTCAAGATCTTCTCGCCGATCTTCCAACCGACGCCGATGCTGTTCCTTCCCAATCAATGCTCCCACCAAAGCCAAAGAGAGTTAAAAAGGCTCAGCCAAAGGCCAAGGCTGCAGATGCCGAGGCTGAGGATGTTTTGCCGATTTCTAAACTGGCAGAAAGCAAAAAATCAGCATCTACTTTCACCAAGAGGTCTGCTGAGGGCCAACCCTCAGGATCTACACAATCGAAGAAGGCGAGGTCATCGTCCGCGACGACCTCGGCTTCAAAGAAGCCCGACGTCCCCTGGGCCCCTGATCTATCCCTGGAGGATAGGCCCATTATGGCTAGTGAAAGTGCAAAATGGTAAAACTTTATTTGCTACATGTTTGATGTTTCATCAGGCAATGGAGGATGCAGGTAAGAAATTTGTTGGGGAACACGATTTCAGAAACTTCTGTAAGATGGATGCAGCTAATGTACGTAACTATAGGAGGCGGATCATGCAGTTTGAAATAATTCCTTGCAATGAAAGGTTGAGATTAGCACCCAGCAATAACTATTGCATTTGTTTGTGACTTCCACTTGTGTGTTACTTGCTAGATGACATTGATTTTCTGGCATCTCATTCTAACATTTTGATAGCTTACTCTTCTTTGTTCATTTGCCAAGACTTGTGGTGAACTTTGTAAGGAATCATCATAATAAATGCAGCAAATATTTGAATGTTTGATTTTTTTTTTTTCTTCTTGATTTCATTTATTTTTTTTGAGATATGAAGACCGATGTTTGCACTGCTGAGTTGAAATGATAAAAAATTTAGGTGAAGGCACTATAATGTCTGTGGGACGGTCAAGAAGATCATGAGTCAAGGCTTCTGAAGAAAACATGGTGCCCTATGAATTTTTTGTACACAAGTAGAAGGCATGACTTTAAGTGCACAATATTCAAAATTTTCATTGATGTTATGTTTTTTGGATTTTATTATTGGGATGTTGGAGAATTACAGACTGGATAAAGGCTGAAGGAGATAGAATGTTGAAAATTGAAAACCAGTGCGATGTTGACTGAAATGATGTGAAGTACAGAGCATTTATCTTTATTTTTTCACCTCTTCATTATAAAGTCCTGTGTTCTGTGTTTTAAAAACTTTAGTTTCCATCAAAAGAAAAAAAATCGGTTGCATATTAGGGTCCTTCTGAATAGTAAAAATTGAGTCATGCAAGTACTTTTCTTATTTACCTTGGATGGAACATTGGTAGTATGCTCAAAACAAATAGGAGAAGATACAATAATGTCACAGTGAATTGAGAAAGGACACATGTCTCTAGGTATTATTTGGATTACTGTATCAATTTCTCATTTTGTTATCAATCAGCTGCCCAGTTCCTATGTTGCAGCTTACTCACTACCATTATTTGATAATTTGCTTAATGTGCATTCCATTGGTTTGACTGGCTATGATTTTGTTCTTCTTGATCAAATTGTTTGTAAATTTAGTCAAAAATACTGTTTCTTTTTATATGCAGGTTTGAAGGCGATCAGCTTTGCGCAGTGAAAATCACAGGTACTGCTTTCCTGTGGCACCAGGTTCGGTGTATGGTTGCTGTACTATTTTTGATTGGCCAAGGTCTTGAATCCCCTAATGTGCGTATTGATATCCTCATAATTGATTGGTTTGTAGTCTTCCATTGGAAGAAATTAAATACACAAGTACAAAATATGTTCTCTTATCTTCTAGCCTTTAACAAGTTAGTAGCATGGCTCAGTTGGTCCATTGATTATAGAACACCCATAGAGTAGGCCAAAGAGATACACTATAACAGTGGTTTGACATGTAACCTCTATCTCCGCTAGCTCAAAAAAGGTTTGAATTTCACATTTATGAAACTGCATCTACACATGGACTTCATATCATGTTGTGTGATGATGTTCTGTGGTTGAGTAAAACATGCACAGCAGAATTTATGGAGTTGCATCAATGGAAAATATTAGTAAGGGAGATATCAAAATGGTTTCATTGGATGATGGCCATTCTGGGCCTATTTATGAAAATAACAAATGGTTACCTTCTTTAACGGGGACTTGGGAGAAAAGTTCTTGAAATTTAAATTTATTTTCTTGTATGTTTTGTCATGAACTCAGATCAAGTGTTTGAATCTGTAGGTGATTGATACATTGCTGGATATTGACATGATGCCCAGGAAACCTCAATACATAATGGCACCAGAAATTCCATTGGTACTGCTATCCTGTGAATTTGAAGGTCTCAGATTTATATGCTCCTCAGGTACTTGAGCATTGAAATATATGGCCAGACTTCTCCTCTGACTAGCAATGTACCAGAAATCCCCTGGTTGTAACGGAAAATTATTAGGTTCTCTCAGAGTAATCATGTGGCATAATTCTTGGCCAATGAGAAATTGCAACACACTAGGCCTCCGTTTGTTTTGGCTTAAAATGTTTTTTTTGAAAATATTTTACACATTTTTTAATGTTTGGTTGAACGAAAAGTAAGTAAAACATTTTTTAAGGAAAATATTTTGTCATAGTCCCCAAAGTGACTTGCCATTAAAATTTTCTCAAGTCAATTTTTAGGAAATTCATTTCGAGCTCGGCCTTTTTAGCACATTGATCTGTCCAAAGGTGAAAGGGTGACTTTTCATTTGGCTTTCTACCGAACGCATAAGATAGAAAGTTTTTGTTTCAAATGTCAACCAAACATCAGAAAACAAAAAAGGCAAATTTTTAATTTTTAATTTTTTTGTGCAAAATCAATTTACATGAAAAATATTTTCAGGTGTAAGATATTTTACGGCGAAACAAATGGAACCTAAGTGAGTCATCCTTTTGTCTCCTAACTACCTAACAAAAGTAAGTCACCATGTCCCATCTATAAAAAAAAATTCAATGTGTTTCATTTGGAGCACCATGTAGGCAATGTCACACGATGCTCATTGAATAATTACCTGGTTATAATGGATCTAGTCAGAGTGGCAGTACTGCTACCTGTCTTCTTCAATGAAAACAACAGAATGTTGCCAATGCATCTTCTCTCTAGTTTATCAAATCAAACCAATTGTTGTTTTAATTTGATTGCCATTGTGGAAATCTTCTTATAGTATTATGGTTCATTATATACTTGTGAAATGAACCCTAAGATGATCGGCTGCTTTGTCCTTTATTATACAACTTGTGGGAGCTAGCTTGTATGTTGTCCATCCTATTCCCCAAACACCAAAGCTTAAGATTTTGGGGTAATGGATTTGACTAACATTATACCAATTCTTTTGTTTTATTTTTGGAGATTCTGGGTTCAAATCTTGTGTGTTTGTCATGTCCACTTTGAGTCTATTCTGTTTGGTCTGTTTGTTGGCCTGTATCTCCATGTGGGAAAAGGGGCTGCAACTGAGAGAGGGGGCAAGAGGTTGGTTTACGTTTCGGGGCCTATTCTTTCTTCTCTTCTTGCCAAACCAAACCAAACCTGACTATTTAACACTAGTAATAGTGTAATGTCAAAATTATATGCATAGTGGTGATTTTTTTTTTTTTTTAAATTATGTAATTGGATTCCCCATAAATCTCTTTCTTATGGTTGTGTTCGCACCACTGTTATTCCTTCTCTCTCTCTCTCGTATGGAGAGAACGATTTAATCAGTTTAGTCAGATTATGTACCTACTATTGCTTCAATATTTTGGTCGTCTATCATCATCATCATCATCATCATATGACTAAGTCATCAAATATTGTGTACGTGGGCGACTGTGACTTGGTTTTTTTTTTTTTTTGGTTCATTAACCTGTAATCAATTAACAAATTCATGATAATGGCCCTGTTTGGTAGAGCTGTGGAAAAGTGTTTATAACTTATGCCTAAACAGCTTATAGCTTATAACTTTCAGCTTAAGCTGATTTCCAGCTTATTCTTAAAGCATCTCCTGCCTCACTCAAAGAATAAGCTGTTTTCTGACTTCCACAAAGCTATAAGCTATAAGCTATAAGCTAAACCAAACACATCAAAATAGTTTAAATTAAGCTGAAAGCTGAAATAAGCTGAAATTAAGCTGTACCAAACAGGGCCAATGAATATAAACACTTTTTTCGCCACAGTTAAAATTTGGACATCTTGTTCCATTTAGTATTTTGCATCCATTGTGCTTTTTAATGGATTTTGACAAGTTGCTTGCTAGTTGGTGGACATTCACATGCACTGAATTTTATTTCTATTTGTTTCATGAATTTTTTGTGTAGATGCCAGGAAAGCTCTGCATGCACACTTGGAGATGGAATACCGAACTTACAAACTTCAAGCTGCCATCTTTCATGAGGCTCTGCTAAGCTGTTCACTCATTGAAAATGGTGCACAAAGCAATATTATTTCATTATGCCGAATCTTCTTTTTTTCTTGCTGTGTTCTCTAATGCTCGGAGCACTTCAATTTTTGCAGATGACAGCATATTGAATAATAAAACCAAAAACAAAGTAGCTTCCTATGTTCCTCTCATGTCACGGCCAACCGAGCGTGAGTTCTCTGTCGCTTTACACAACCTACAACTCTTATGAGTACCTTCTTTGGCAAGACATAGTTCTTGCTTAAATTTATGCATGCAAAGTTTGATGCGTGTTTTCTATTTAAGGGTGGTGAGAATGACTTTTATTGCATTTGTTCCCAAATTGAGGTATAAAAACTTATGCGGGATAATTTAAGGTTTACCTTTACATGGGTGAAAATGACTAGAAGGCATTTATAACCAAATGAGTTTAGGCTCTAGGGAGAGTTTTTGAGCTCTCAGCCTTTATTTTTATATTCAGCCAAAATATTTTATTGCTAGATTACTTGCCGAGTTTCCCTTAATATTGTTATTACTAAGGTTGTGTTTGGATCTTGGATTTGAGGAGGGGTTTGTAGAAAGAAAGAAAAAGGATGGGAAAAGTGAAAAAAAAATAAAAAAATCCATTCACTTTTCCCTCTCTTTCCGTCCACAAATTACTCCTGAAATCTAAGATCCAAACAAAACTAAAAAGTTTTTTTAGTTCAAGAAAGGGAGACTTTTTCCTGGATTTTTTCCTGGATTTTTTCCCAACTTTTTTGCACAACTTGAGATACTTTTTTCTAAGATGTGCTTTTAGTTTATTTTTTGGTAGTTAAAGATACTTTTTGTGTTGTGTCTTTTACCACTGATTCTGAAAGAGAGCCAAACTCCCATATATGTTGGGTAATCTACAGTCTCATGTATATCAAAGATAGGCAATGCTTATGTTTGTTTCTTCAATTTTTTGTCGTCTTCTTCTGTATTTATGTTGCTGCGTTTTAGTGTTTAAGCACAACTTCAATCAATTATTGACAAGAATAAATCAACGGTTAACTTTCCTTAATGCTTTGATTGTTGACAGCATCTTACGAAGAACGGCGTGTGAAGTTGAACTCAGGAGCACACAAGCAAGAGGCTATTGATTTGTTGAGAACTCAATTTGTTGAAACGGAGGATATCTAGTTGTTATTTCATGTTTGTATGTAACATTAATTTATTGTACCAGTTCCGTATTTTTGTTTCTAATATAAATTATTTATGAATAGGAAATTTTTGTTATTTGTAATGAGTAATAATCATACCCCTTCAACCTGATTTTTTTTAACAAAGAAGATGATATCTATCTGTTGTTACCATTTTTGTTATTTGTAATGAGTAATTGTTGATATTTTTTAAGACAAATGTGAAGAAATAGTTGTACTTTTTATTTTTTAAAAAATATTTTTTATGAATAATTTATAAAGATCTCAGGGTGAATTCACAAGAACTTAACTATACTTTTAAAGACAAATGTGAAGAAATCTTATAGAAATCGTACGCATAATAACCTAAAAAATATATGAATGAAATTATTAAAATAAGTCTCTTGGCAATCCATGAAAGTCTAACAATCCAATCTAATCTAATCTTCTTGCATAACGGCAGGAAAATTAAACCCTTTTTAAATAAACATAAAAACATTCATATTCAAACCAACATAATATCTAGAAGGTACTAGTCTAATTTTCATGAGGTGGGAGGACCCTGTTTAGGCTAAAAACATCAATCATTTGATCAACTCTTGGGAATGCTTGTGGGTCCCATTGGTTACACAAACAAAAGCAAAAGCAAAGTGCCTTCAAACAAAATCCTCATTGCCCACCATGGCTATGTAAAAGCATAGCTAAAAGTTCTCTCAAAACAGCTCACCCATATACCTTTACATGATTTCAGGGCAAATGGTGACCATGGGTTCATGATAACAATGCATCCTCCTACTCATCACCACCACATCCTTCTGACTTACAACTTGTTACAAGTTAAGAGTTGATATCTATAAAATATAAATTAAAAGTTTTTCTTCCTTTACATTTTAATAGTTAGTTTTTTTTAATTTACATAAATTATTTCTACCCCATAATAAATAAAAGTAGCCCTAAATATTTTATACTAATTTCTAAAATAAAAGGGTATATATAGCCTTATAAATTACACCAATGCACTTTTCTTTTCTTTTTTTCTGTTTTTTGGGGGAAGGAATGTATTGAAAGATGAGTTTGAAATTGACCCATGATGAAATTAGCTTGAACCCAGTTAATTTCATACAATTAATTAAGAAAATTATTCATGTAAAAAATTAAGTTGATTCAACATTAATTGACATACCTTCATATCATTTTATCCATATGACATACATATTTTTACAAATACACTGTTTATAAATTATATTACATTATATATGCATATATATGTGATTTGATTATATAACTACTTATATCTAATCAACTTAATTTTTTTTTATGTATTTCTTAACTTATCATATGAGATGAACGATTAAAATTACTAAAACTGTGTGTGTTTGATTAATGTATTTGAGAAGGAATTTACAAAAGAAAAAAAAAAAAGATATATGAAATGTAGTTATATTTTACGCACATTATATCTATCTTTTTCTTTTTCTTTTTCGTTTCTAAATTATTTTTCAAATTTATAAATTAAACATAGCGTAAATGTATAGATTGATCTCACAATGTAACAACTTTACCTATGAAAGATTTTTCAATTTTAATTTTTAACAAATCCAAACTCAGGAGAATGAGAGAGAGAGAGAGAGAGAGAGAGTGAGGAGTTAAACCTGATTGCTACTGTGTAGTGAGTTAAAATGCAGTGCGAAGCACCATAACTAATTTCCGTAACATACTCAAAAAAAGGCACTTATATACGGTTCCCGCTAGGGAAACACGGATCGAACAACTCGCCTCTCTCTCTCTCTCTCTCTCTAAAATTCTCTAAAACTGTTTGTGTGTGTGTGTGTGGGTGTGGGTGATTTGAGGAGGGTGATTTGGTTGGTTGGAAGAAAATGGAGGCAGCGATGGGATTGATGAGAAGAATTCCTCCGAAGCACACGGAGACTGCTCTCTCTGCTCTCCTCACCCTCTTGCCTGACCACTCCTCTCATCTCCTTTCCCAAGTCGATCAGCCTCTTCAGGTCCTCCTTTCTCATTTCATTTCTTTGTTTTTTACTTCGATTCGGTTTTTTTTTTTTTGTGTTCTTGCGATTTGTGTGCGTAAACACGACGGTTATTTTTCAATTTGCCTTCCTTCTGTATCTTTGATTGCATTCCATTAACAAGATTTGTGTTACACTTTTTAGGTTTCGCTTTTACTCTCTCTTCAAAATCTCTACATTAGTTTTGGAATTCTCCTCTTGTTTGTTGCTGTGTCTGTTTCCTGTTTCTGTCTGGCTGACAAAACAGACAAGAAATTAATTAACTTTTTTTTAAAAAAAATTTATAATTATTATTTGAAATTGATGTTAATGCTATGTTTGGATCTTAGATTTGTCAAAAATTGATTTTTTACTGAATTTCTGGAAATGATATCTTCTCTCTCTCTCATATAATTGGGAAAGTTTCTTTCAAACTGGCAAGGACAGGTATTGTGTGATGTGGATTGTGGAAAGGAGTTCATCTTATGTGAATACAACAGAGATGCTGACTCCTATAGGTAAATATGCTCACCTCCTGAATAGCTGTAATCAAAATTATCACTTTTATAGCATGCTAACCTTAATTTTCCCAAATGGTGTTGGTTTCCTAACAATCAGAGTCAATAATTAAGCTAAGCACTTCTCTTCTCTTGCACAACTCAAATTTTGAGACATCATTATGGGCTATTTAAACCATGATGTCATTCTTAGATTCTTTAAACCATGAACAACTTAACATTGCTTGCTTTGTTCCATCTATTTCTATTTATGGTTTCAGTACATGGTTCTGGTTTCAAATTATAGCCCACAATTCTTCTCTTATACTTTCTTTGTATTTATTTAATCTTGTCTTGTGATCGGTGATCCCATATTTTGTTGTAGGTCACCTTGGTCAAATAAATACCATCCATCATTGGGAGATGGACTTTACCCTTCTCTGGAGTTGAGGAAACTTGAGATTGAAGCAAATGAAGTCTTTGCAATTTATCGTGACCAGTGAGGTCCTTTACTTACCTCGTCTTGTAGTTTGTTGTGTTTTTTTTATTAAACTATATTATGGCATAAAATGTTTTTTCTCCCTCTATTTCTTTCTGTTCAGTATTCCCTTTGGTTATTTATTATTTTTTAATTTTTTTAATCAGTTGAAGCAAACTACAGAATGTGAATATTTTATTGATTTTACTTGCTCAAGAGAGCTAGTGATGCCATTGTGAAAGAGATGATGACTTAATAGAAAATCATTTATTTACATTCATTATCCTAATTTTGTTTCTGAAAAATTAGTAGCAAATTGATTAACTGGTATTTTGGGTAGGTATTATGAAGGCGGCATTTCATCAGTGTATTTGTGGGAAGATGCGAATGAAGTTTTTGTAGCTTGCTTCTTGATAAAGAAAGGTAATTTTTTTCTCTAATACCCTTGATCAAAAGTTCTGCATCTTTTCACTAACCTGCAATAATTCTCGAGAATGAAGATGGCTCAAAGTCAGGGCATGGCAGGAGAGGTTATCTGCATGATGGAATATGGGATGCTATACATGTCATTGAGGTAGGCATCATCTGCAGACTCAGTTTTCCCTTCCTCTTTTAGAGTATTCATTCATTCATGCTGCAATCCTTTACCTTTAGGTGGCTCCAGAGGACGAAGAAATGACTCGTTACTGTTTAACAAGTACTGTCATGTTGTCATTGACTACAAATAATGACTCGTCTGGCACGTTCAATCTGTCAGGGTCAATTAGAAGACAGGTAATTCATACTGATTAAATTTTTTTTTTATATTGTTGAGTTTAAACCAGTATCTGGGCTTTCAAGACTTTATTATAAGTCAAAGACAAGCTCTAACCTAGAAAAATGTTGTTCCATGCCAATTTTCTTCACATTGGTTGCCTGTAATAGATAAAAAATGGATTGGTGTTGATTGGAGTGAATAGCATCTACCAACTAAAAGTAAAGCATATATCAAACTGGCTGTGTCATTTTTTTCCCATTTTCTGAACATGGAAAACTAGGTGGAAGGCTAAACTGGCTGTGCCATTTAGCATCATGAGGCTTAGACCTTGAGAGCTGATATGATTTAATTGAATCTGATTTTTTATGCTTCCACACCTATTTAAGCTTTGTATAGTGAGGTATAATGGACAAAAGTTTGACAGCAACTATGGCTGTTTGAAGTATGAGCACGTTATATATCGCTTGTTCATCAATTATAATTTTCTGGCTAGAGATGAAACCTCAGTGAATGGAGACTGAAAGTACTTCCCTAAGGATGAGAAAAATCTTTTACTGGAAGAACACAGGAAAAAAGAGAAATAGAAATGAAAGCCATGACAATTGGAAGATACTGAAAAACATCCTGACAGCTAATGGATGAGGGGTAGATGTGCCCCAAGTGATTGAGGGTTGTAGCTTCTCTTTATCGTTAAATCATCATCCCTGTGATAACTGGAAAGTAGTCCTCACCAATCGAAAGATGACTTTATCCACTATGACTAATTGTCTTGTATTCCCAAGGGAATTCCCCATTAAAATTGAGCTTCAACTTTCTATATTAATTAGCAAAGGAACCCCGAGAATGTAGGGTATTTACATTTGGGTGGGAGCTTAAAGGGATATGGCAATTTGCCAATAGATAGCATGCTAACCTTAATTTTCCCAAATGGTGTTGGTTTCCTAACAATCAGAGTCAATAATTAAGCTAAGCACTTGTCTTGTGAACAACTTAGCATTGCTTGCTTTGTTCCATCTATTTCTGTTTTGGAAACAGGGCTGTGAACTTGCCCAAGTAAAAAAAGGAAAAAAAAAAAAAGAAAAAGAAAAAAAA